AGAATGAGCATCTTTTTTATAACAGAAAAGGTTACTTTAGCATAAATCCAATGATTGTAAGTATGAAATTGAACAGCATAAGCACGTTTTTAAGTTAAAATTTTTTGGAATTTACAGATTTGTGATTCCGATATGCAAGCCGACCTGGATCAAGCCATGACGCTTTTGTTTTTAATATGAGTAATGCAAAGCAACATTATTTGTCAAAATATGAAGCTGGTGACCGCGGATCCTCGTTACTTGGTGATTACGGAATATAAGCATTTTTATTGACACCGTATAGAGATCCTAATCCGAGATCACCACAACATAGGTTTAATCTCCAACATGCCAAAGCTCGTAATATCATAGAGAGAGTAATAGGAGTTCTTAAAAGCAGGTTGAGATGTCTAAAAACCGCATTACCATATGCCCCACAAAAAGTAGTTAAGATTATAAATATTTGCTGTGCATTACATTGCATTTGTAGGCATTATCAAATAGAAGACTTTGTAGAAACAGAAAGCACAACCCAACCTGAAGAAATTTTTGAAGAAAATACAGATCGAAGAAAATACAAATTTGAATAATGTTGGCCGAAATTTAAGAGACTTAATTGCCAATAATTTAATATTATAGAACAGAACGTAAACTTTATTCACTTATAAAAAAATAAATTAACAAAAACTCAGTGTAAATATTTATATATTAAATCACCTCATTGATGATTCTAACTCGAGCATCGACATTTTTATTTTGTCTTTTTCATGTACGCACTGTTCCATCTTGATATGATGTTTCTTTTTTTCTTCTATGTCACGTCGCATTAAACTATTCTGTTCCGCTAGAAGTTGGTTTTGGGTTTCCACCGCTTTACAAAGGCGTTCAAAATCATAATTGTTTTCATTGTTTTTTTGGTTCTAGCATATTTCTCCCAGCGTTATTGCAATTGTTTTCATTGTTTCATTTTGTGTTGTCATACACGAACGGAGACAATCTTCATTATCCACGGTTCTTGCTCTTTTCCGTGGCTGCGCACTGACGGCGTCGTGGCTTGTCAGCGGACGTTCACCTTCATCGGACTCACCAACGTTCACACTTTCAGCTTCCTCTTGTGTCCCGAATGTCCTAGATTGTGCTATGCCCTCGACTGCCGCAAATATGCCACAAATTCGAGCCACACTCTCCTCATTTTGGGTTAATATATATGTATTTATGAAAAGGCCCGCCTCCTGTTGCCCTCGACTCCATATTATTATGTGCTACCTTTTTTTTAATGTTCGCTTTTCAGTCAGATATCTGCAAAACAATAAAGCTATTTAAATAACATGAATTGGGAAATTAGATTAAAACTTTACTTTTTTCCAACCATTCACATCTTTCTGTGGTGGACCTTCTGCATTCAACAACATGACGAGCTCTTTCCACTTCTCTTCGGCATTCACTCGATCGCCTTTTACAAAATTTTTAGCCAAATCTTGATGATTTTCCATGAACTGGACAAAAATTAGTTCTTGTTTGGAGTTCTTGTGTTTCCCCCTGAATATTTTTGATATTTAACGTTTATTTACAAATAAGATCATATATTTCAAGATAATACTTACATTGTTATGCGTATTATTGATACAAAATATTTTAAAATTTCAAACCGCTCTCGTCTACGTTGCCGAATACAAAACAGTAAAATTTTACCGATTTCGTTTTCCAGAACAGGGTGACAAATCGATTTGGCAATGTTCGAAAAAAACAAAAACGGAACGATTTACAGAACATGTCATACGATTAAATAACGGAAAATCCGAAAATGTTGATCGAAAACGATTTACAGAACATGCCTGTATATGTTTGTATAATACATATATGTATTTAAAGATGAAGTTACGCACAAGTGGTGCAACATCAAGTCATATTTCAGTTCAGAGAAGCAGAGGATGGACAAGGCAAAGAGAAGCGGTGCCGGCGGAGACGAAAACGTACAGACCAGCTGGAAGTTCTATGAAGCTTTGAAATTCCTACAACATGTGAATGAGCATACACAATCAGTGAATAATTTTAATAAGTGGAGTTTGCAGGTACGACTTTTATTGTGTGAAACCGGGCAAAGCGTCGATTCGCGTGCTACGTAAAATTTGCTTAATATTTTCATTCTCTTGTAGAACCTGGACCCTGATCCCAATCCATCGCGTAAGCTTGGGGAGCAACTGCAGCCTGCAGAATGTTTCGATCCAGGCTTTGACTCAGAGTCATCCTTTTCACTCATCGAAGACAACACAGAGTTCATTACAATTACCCCTCTTGCAGTATCCAGTCGCTCCAAGATACTAAAAACATCTCTACAGAAGACACTAATAGTGATGCAACACCAATTAAAATCATATCGGATGAGATTGTAACTCCACCTCTGGTTACTTCGCAAAACTGTGGTCGGTTTGATGACAATAACAACAATAGCACTAGAAAGTTGGTCCATGCAACAAGAAAACGGAGAACAAAAATTAATAATGATTTGGATGAAAACGCCTCTGCCACAAAATTTAACAAATGCCTTTCATATTGCATCAGAAACAAATAACACTGACGAAAAGGCAAACAGTTTTGGGATATACATGGGTGAAGAAATTGTAAAACTGGACCCCGACTTGCAACTCAAAGCGAAGAAACAAATGCATGACATTTTGATGGATCTGCAAAGTGAGCAATTGAAACGGAATGGGCTTATGTAACACAATGACTATTTATATGTATGTATGTACACTCATAGACAAAAATAGGAGTGTCCCTTTTTGTCATGTTTTGACCATTTTCCGTAGGTTATTGAATTTTAATAACTTATTTATAAAACTTTAGTTAACTCTACAACCAAACACATATCACTAGAAGCTTTAAACTTTAAACAAAATTCAAGAAAATGCATAAAATTACATATCAATTTCGAACTTCCTTTTAAGTATTTCAAAAACAAAATGGGTTGTTGCGGCGCCCTCAGCTTAAAAAAAACAATACCCAAAATTAACGGTGATCTTAAGCCACTTGAAATTTGCCATTTATTACATAAAAATTACACATCTACACAGACATGCAATTTTCTTTTTAATATTTAAAAGAAAAAAATCGAAATTTTGATGAGTTTTCCTGAATTTCGGATAAAGTTTAAAGTTTTATTGATATGGTTTTGTTTGTAGAGTTAACTATACATCCCGTGTCATAATTATAAACGCACCACATATTGCCAAGTTTAAAGATTTTTAATTAATGGGGTATATTTTTATAAGTAAATTATTAAAGTTCAATAAACAAAAGGAAAATAGTCAAACTTTACGAAAGGAGGCAGAGTTATTATTTTGCCGAGTGAATATGTATTTTGATTATTCTTACCACTTTTTTACCTTATTATTACTTTCATTAAAATATTTGGTTGCTCTAATTGAATCAAAAATGTAACAGTGTTTGTACTACTCACGGTGCACCGCTAAGTAGGCAGGTATTAGCTAGTAGGTATGTACATAAATTGAAGACATTGTACTCATTTATTTAATCACCAAATAAACCAATTGTTGCTTAATTTCCAACACGAAAAGTTTTGGTTTATTTAAACAATGAAACGATATTTTAATTTACCGCAGAAAAATTGTTTTCGAAAGTTTTTCTTATTTCTTCAGCGCTCCATTTTGACGCATTTCTTTCAGAAGCGGTTGTTGTATAGTTGTTATCTATTATTGCTTCTATTTCACTTTCGGAAATGGCGTCAAACGTAGTTTTCTTTTTCACATTTTCTGTTCTTAAAAAGTTGTGCACACATACGCAAGATAATACAATCTGAATGGCTGCAGCTGGAGCGCGATGGATGGGTGAAAATAAAACTCGAAAACTGTTCGCAAGAATGCCAAAAGCATTTTCAACAACGCGCCTGTTCCTCGAAAGTATGTTGTTGTATTTAAGTTCGCTTGGTGATAGTCTTAGATGAGAGTAAGGTTTCATTAAGTAGTCTTTTAGAGCAAAGGCATCATCGGCTAAAAGCACAAAAGGCGAGGGAGTTGACATGAAAGGGAGCGTGCATGGGGCTGGTATATGTACTTCATTTTTTTCAATAGCGTATTTCAGGTCCGAGTTCAACCAAATTCCAGCATCACCCACTCTCCCATTAACACCGACATCAGCATAAATAAAACGATAGTGGGCATCAGCGATTGCCATCAATACAAATGAATGGTATCCTTTGTAATTGAAATACGTAGATCCTGCTTTCCTCACTGGCAGTATTCTGCAATGCTTTCCTGAGACGTTTCATCAGTTGAGTGAATTTAAAAGTGTTAATTGTTAGTTTACCATCTAAAGCGCCGATGCAGTTCGGGAATCCCCACATCTGATAAAAGTCTTTTGCAATATCACGCCAATCTTGCTCACTTGCAGGGAATTTCAAATACTCCTCCCTTAACGCCAAATATATTGCGGGAATTGATTCCTTTAAAATTCTGGAAATGGTTGACTGCTGAATTCGGAACGGCAATTGAAGTGACCTTTGGGTTTCACCTAATTTTGGAAATATGTACATACATATGTATGTCGGTACTAAAAATTACCAAGAAAATATTATATCTTACCAGTGGATAGATATCGCAATGTCAGCTGCAGCCGTTCCGCAGCTCCTATGCAGTTCCTGAATTTTGTATATAGGGGCGTACTTTTTCTAATAAGAATACAAACTGAGCTGGAGTCATTCTTAAGATATTTTTGTGAAGGATTGAATCCTCGCACTCAGTTAACAGTTTATGGCTAAATCCTATGAAAAGTATTTTTGATAATTACAAAAACGAACTATATACATGTGTATATAATGTGGAATTCGAAACTTACCTTCCTGTTCTCTTTTTAAAAGCCATTGCGCAGAATATTTTTTTTAGTCTTTTTCTTTTTCCTACGCTGTATTAAGACAGCAGCGTTTAGCAAACAATTTGTTGCAATAGATAAAACTTGTATTTCCATTGTATGCTTAGAAAATCTCTCGTATGTCAAAATGCAAACAGCTGTGTAAAAAAACTAACGAAATACAGCCATCTGTCAAAAAAACCTAACGAAATACAAGTTGGCCGGACTGTTTTTAACAACCTAGTTTGTTTTTCGTTTGTTTTTTGGTATATAGCTTACCCGCTTACACAAGTACTGAAATTGTATGTGACCTTCTCTTTACTTACTTACTTACTTACTTACTTACAGTGCAACACCATTTTTGGGGGCGGAATGATTCCAACTCAAGATGAAAGACTGAGACCCCTTAGTAAAACCTCCATATCCCTTTGCATTCGCCGGTCAAAAATTTTTTAATGCCCATATTAAGTTTATAATTTTTGCCTGAGTGTTTTTAGAATAAGTTTAAAGAAAGGTTTAAAACTCATAACTGTTCGAAATATGCTGATTGGGTATCTATAATAAAATTTCACGAGGAATAATTTTGTAGAACATTTTAACCAATTAATTATCTGACGAAAGTCTGAATAAATTTGAGAGGTTGTTAGAGGGTTGAAGTAGAGTTGTCAAACTATCGATGGCACTATCGATAGTATCGATAGTTTAAATTTTTTTAGACTATCAATACTCATTGATAGTTTTTTCTTGAATTAAAAATTTTGTTTTTTAGTGTGATGCCGACGTCATATTCAAATATGCACGCATTTAGGCCAAAATACATACATATGTTAATCGTAAATCCTGTTTTGTTTGTATAACTTGTGTTTGTTTTTGAACTTTCTAAAAAGACAAGTATTTTGACTAAGCATTTACTTAATTTTGAATGATTATAACTTTTATAAGATAATATTTTTTTCACTATGATCCTGTAAAAACAAAGCAACCTAACTGATTTAGCACTATCGAAAGCGCTATCGATAGTGCTATCGATAGTTTTGTTCTTTTCGAGAATATCGTGAATATTGATAGTTTTTCTGAAAACTATCAAAACTATCGATGGTGTGACTATCGATAGTTTGACACCTCTAGGTTGAAGTGTTCCAGAAAATTGTTCGCTAAAAAATTTCACTAGGGGCATTCCAAGACAAAATATTTATACAAATAACGTGAAAGCGCACAGAAAATAAAAAAAAACAACTATGTCCCCTTGAAACACGCAACGAATTGTGTATGCATTTTTCATATTTTGCTCATATGTGGGTCATTTCCAAAAGAAGTGTATTTTTCCCCCCTTTTTACATTTTTTTATGGTAGTAAAAAAGGAAAAATCAAGAACAGCATTATGACCCAAATAAATTATAAGCTACCAACAAATTTTTTTATTATTTTAAGCCGTTTTGTTTTTTTGCGAACGGTATTTCTTTGATATATTTTACCTACTCCATATAAAAATATTTGTCCCCGCTGAGGTTAGTCGATAATCAACATAAAAAAAAAATTAAACAAAGAAACAATGAAAAAAGGCGTAACTACTTGTGAATGGCCACCTTAACTTTAATTGTTTTATTCTATTTTTGCCTGAAAAGTTTTATCAACATAAGCGTAAGGCTTTCTATTATAATACTGCCCCTCCGAATTTTCCAGAATGTCACATTTTTTAATGTAAAAGTAATTATTTTGTGTTTTTTAAGGGAATGTATCATTGGTAAGTACGGCTTAATAATATATGCAAAAAACACTAAAAATAAGGTAATTACCAATGTCTGTTTATTGCTTAAGAAGTTTCAATGATTTCCTTGTTTTTATATTTTCGTGAAATAAGACTCTTAGAAAAAAAAAAACAAAAAATTTTAAATATTTCCAGAATGTCACTTCTAGCTGAAAAAGGATTTTTTATTTAAATAGCTTATTTCTCCAAAAGTGTTCAAATGGCATATATGGGAAATTGTTGCCGAAGAAAGATTAAACAAAATGCCTACCTCCCAAGAAAAACCATGATATGAAACCATGAAAAACGTCGATAACAGATTCGATAAAAATGACGATAACAAAATCGATAAAAAATATCGATTACAAATTCGATAAAATTATCGAAAACAAATTCAATAAATATATCGATAACAAAATCGATAACAAAATCGATAAAAAGTATCGATAACAAAATCGATAAAAATATCGACAACAAAATCGATAAATATGCAATAACAAAATCGATAAAAATTTCGATAAAAATATTGATAGCAATATCTATAACAATATTGACAACAAAATCGATAACAATATCAATAAAAAGTATCGATTACAAAATCGATAAAAAACCTATAAGAATATCGATAATAAAATCAATTATTACATCGATAAGTACCGAAAATATCCGATATCAAAATCGATAACAATATCGAAAAAAGTCCGGTAACAAAATTGATAAAAATATCAATTATTATATTGATAAGTCCCGAGACACACGAAAATCTTCAAAATCCCGAAATAGTTCCCAGATTGAATCTGTGTCTTTTCTTTATAAGTACCTTTGTTTTAATCCATCTATCTTCATATTTACTTTCATCTGTATTCTCATCCTCGTCTTTTTCTTTATATTTGTCTTTGTTTTTACTTTTATGTTTATCATTTTCTTCATCTACATATTCCCCTTCACCTTTGCCCTTTTATAAGTAAATTTATCTTGATCTTCATTTTTGCCTTTATCTTTACGCATCTTTGCTTTTATTTTAATTTTTACCTTGCTTTTATCCTTTTCTTTATCTATGTATGTACGTAGTCTCCTTTACTTTCATTCTTGTATGGTTTTTTTTAAGCGTTATTCTTTAACCTTTTATTAGCAAGTTTTTGTTAAAGTAATACCATGTGCATACACACAATAAGCAATTGTTTCAGCCCCAACCATTTCCGTGTGCAATTTCCGCTGAATTTGTCAATTTACTCCCAACCAGCCACCCGCCGTTAAAGAAGTTTCACTTCAAAAATTAATTTTTGAAGATACTGAAAGCAGTTTCGTATTCTGCACAAATTTTCACGTCAGTAAACGATTTCAGAGGATAAATTTACCAATCTTAAAAAAATATAAATAACACTTGCCATGTACACTTTGTTTGGAAACTACCAAGGTACATTGAACAGGTAGTATCAGTAGAGCAGCTGATTTGATTTATTTTCAAATTATTTGGTCTTGAAAATGTCAAATATTTTTAATTTTTTCTCACAAAAATCCTGAATTGTTAAAATCCATTTGCATGTGAAACCTTTTTCCATACAAAACAAGCGATTGAATAGCAGCTTTTGGAACGTTCGCCCAACTCCCGCTGGATTACTGGGCCTTGCAAAGGATGGATCAATGCTTCGAGAAGCAATCAAATTTACTAGGAAAGAAAGTTGCATCAATTTTTATTTTTTCCAATTTCAATTTTTTATTTTTTATAATTTTTTGTATTTCACATGGCACGCTTTGATTTAGAAGAAAAAATTCAGAACAGTTTTTGACACTTTCAATACCAGAAGCAACAACAAAATACACGCAAATGTTGTTTTTGCTCTACTGATACTACCTGTTTAATATGCCTTGGAAACTACCCATACATACATACACTCAGAAAAAAGCATTTCCTTAAATCAAGAAAACAGTATCCTAATTTTCGAGTTATTGTTTTTTACAACGCTTTTATCAACTTGCAATGTTGTGAGTCCAGAAACTTTCAATGTTGTGGATCCAGAAACTTTCAATGTTGTGTGTCCGACACCAAAGCAAAGCTTTGAAAAGTTCCTATAAAAAAGCATAGTGCATAGGGCGACAGCTATAGTGAATAGGGCGAGTAAGATGACATCTAGATGTCGCCCTATGTACTTCGTTTGCTACAGCGCAAATAGACGACACGCCATTTCTTTAAATAAAATTAATTGGTGCTCGTTTGTATGTACATACATATGTAAATGCATGTGTGTGCACCTTTTTATTAATATCGTTGAATTATTTTAATATCTATTGCAAAATTTTATTCAGACAGGACTAAAAAGTAGAAAATAAATAATATAAAAAAAACTTTTTAATATACAACGCTTTTATAAATGGACTAAAAAGTAGAAAATAATATTTCTCAGTCCCATAGAATTTGTTTTGATAACTTTTGATTTTGAAATTTTAGCAAAAGTCATTATAAACAATCTATGAAATTGAAAATGAAAAGCGTGGGGCGCATGTAATACACTTGAATTGATATGAAAAGTAATATATATGTATGTATGTGGGTATATGAATAACGACCGCTTAAAATTGATTGCAAAGTTCTACTTTCGCTGTAGAAATTTTAGGTCTACGTTATGTAGTTTGACTATTGTCAATTAAATCGAATGCTTTGTATTGAACATGAAAAATAAATTAGATTTTTTTTTAAAAACAAATTAAAAAAATACAAATAAAAAAAAAACAAAAAAAAATATAAAATAAAAAGTTTCCTGCTCTGGGATTCGAACCTTGCATCTCTCGACTAGCACTCCAGAGCTTTGCTCTGTCGGCCATTGCCACTGTTTGAGCGCGGTGACATACTTATTCCTTTCACGGGTGGCAAGTAAATTTTTCCTAAAACTTAAGGAATTGTGTGTTTCCTTAAACTGAGTCAAATCGTTTACTCATATTAAGGCAGCCATGTCATTGGAGCCATTTCAAGATAATATTTCTTTAGAATAATATACTTTTTTCCTTGCATCAAGGAATTTTTTTTTTCTGATTGCCCTATCTCAGGCTG